CTGTTCCACACACAGTTGTTAAGGGCCCCATCTGTGCCAGAGAGGGTGCTGGGTCCTGAGGAGAGAAAACGAGCTCATAGGACAGTGCTGGGGAGAGACAACTGTAAGCCCCAAGACTGTGGGACAGTGGGGAGGGAGCCGGTGGTACAAGGGAAAGGGGTCCCAGGGGAAGCAAAATTGTGCCAGCTAACACCTGGGGCTCTCTTGTACCAGGCTTTGAGCTAAGGTCTTGCCCTGTGACATTTCAACGGCCCTTTGATGTTTACAGATGCTTGTAAGTCAAGAGGTGGGTCCTGAGCCCTGGTGAAGTTACATGCAGGTAGTTTGCAAAAGATCTCACCCTGAGCAGGTGGCGATGGGAGGCCAGGTCCCTGTGGCTCTGAGCTCTCACCGGCTCTAGAGGCCCTCCCCCGGCATCCCACCTGGGGGTGTCTGGCAAGGCTGCTTGAAGGAACTTTGCACTGAGCAGAGAGAACACACGTGGAAGTTTATGGGGAGACCACACAGAAAAGATCGAAGTACTTCTAGAAGGAACAGCATTGGCAAAGCCAGAAAGGCTCAGAATAAAACTTCGTATCTTGTTGTCCACAATTCTGAGAAGCCAGGCAATCTTGTGAAGAGGCACTTGTACGGAAAGAGGCCAGGGCCTGCCGCTTCCTCTTTCTGCTTCTCTGTTTCCTAACAACGTCAGCATAAATAGGAAGCCTGAGAGGCTCGCTGACTGCCTCCAGGAGACACCACAGAAGGTCCGTCTGTCCCGGCACAAAGAGGGTACGTGCGGGTTTTGGGGCAGGCTGAAGGGTGGGATCAGGGGCAGGGGCGTGTGGGAGTCTGGGAGGGAAGGACAGGGAGAGCCTGGGGGTGTCGAGTGGGCAAGTGTGCCCCAGGGACTTGGGAAGTTAAGGCTTGGCCTCTTGGGAAAATCTGAACCCAGACTCCCAAGCAGCCAGTGGACGAGGATGCAGACAGCAGGGACCGACCTGCCTGGGTGTTGGGGGAAGGGCTTTGGGTGTTCCGTCCTCACTGCCGGATCTGACTGTCCTGTCAGCGGGGAAGATGCCTGGGGCAGTAGAGAGTTCAGGCCTGAGTGTCACACAGCTGTGTACCGTTGTCTTTACTTTGTCACAAAGGTATCACTAAGGTGTCACTAAAGTGTTGGTGGCAGTGATAATATCCTGTCCTGGGCTTCTGTCTCCTGTCTGGAACAGGGGAGTGCCGATAGTCCCTGACATCCTGGTTTGGAAAAAGTCTGTGTGTACACACACATACACACACATTCGTGTGCCTGCACACACGTGTGGATGTCCACGGGGATGCAGAGATACTGGAGGCAGATGATGAAGCCAGGAAACTTGCTGTGCTCAGACCTAGACTGGTGTGGGTTGAGAAGCTCATGTCAGAAGATAAGAAGGGAGCAGGTTCCTTCCTTACTTAGAGACATGTCTTCCCCCCTCTGAGAATGTTTTCTTAATGGTCGTACTCTGCCCTGACCACTGTCGATACGTTACGTTTGGGCCCAGCTGTGGATGCCTGTTACTGAAGTGAGTTGGCTAGGTGGTGGGTGTCTGGGGGTGTTTTCGTCCAGGTGTGCACTTGCCCTGTGGATGGGAAGACAGGTGTTTCTCTGGGTCCCCACTGAGATAAGAGCCTGTGGGGACTCGCCAGGCAGCCTGTAGTGACAAGTTGCAAATGTGCAATGTTTAGTCTTTAGACACCTCGCTGTTACATTTTTGTATAACCAGATTCTAATTTTCTCTGCTTATCATCTTCCTTGCTTTCTAATGGTTTTATAACAAGCAAAATCTGTCCTGCTAATTTTGGGTCACTCTTTTTTTCATTCATTAGTTTTACTCATGTTGTTCTATATCTACTAACATCACAGGATACTTCTTGAGTTCTTTCATGAATATATTTAATATTAAACAAGTGAATCCATGGATCTATGTTTTGCTAAAAATTTAAAAATTGGGAGTACATAAAAGTGATTATAACATACATGTTGTCCTAGGGCTTAGTTTTCCACTTATTATTACGTTCTGGACAACATTCCATAATAAGATGTAGAGATTTGACTCGTTAATTAGCCCTAAGAGATACATGACATTTATCAGTTTAGGTGTTACTGAAAGAGCGTGGTGGGGTCTGGCTGCTTGCTGTTCAAAAGACAATAAGCAGGCCAGGTTGGTGGAAAGGAAAGTTTGCTTTATTTCAGATGCTGGCAATTGTGGTGGCAGGGCGTTGTGGACGTTTGTCCAAAGGCCGACTCCCCACATGGGCAGCCAGAAGGGCAAGAGCTATTATAAACAGAAGGTAGGGATGGGGGCTACATACAGAAACAGCACAATCAGCTCTGACAGTCATCTTCAGATTGGTCATTGGTGATCTCACCAGCGTCATCATTATTGTTTTAGGTACAGTTAATCTTCAGTTCCGGGGTCCATTTGTTCCCATTTCTTTGAGGCCAGTTCTCGGAATCGTGGCAGCTTATGTTGTGGGTACAGTCTGGTCGTCATGAAATTAACTTCTCCATCTTGGTGTTTTAGTATCTATAAGACAGCTCACAGGATATGGCTCAGAATATTATCTACAGCCCTTGAGACAGTGTTAAAGATCCTTGACTATGCTTAATGATTGCATTATTATTATTTGGTCTCTTTAGACCATTTTCCTTTGTTTCTGTATTTCTCACTTTTCTGATTAAACTTATTCTTTGACTAAAGTTTTCCACAGACAAAAGGCAGGCAGAGGACATCGCGGGGTGGAGGGTGGGCAAGGACCAGGGGGTCCTGCTCCATTTCACAGATACACCACAATTTACCCGATCACATGTTGCTAGACAGTTGGGTGGTTTCCAGTTTTCCACACCTGTGAAAGCATTCCTAGAGCCCAGATTCCTAGAAGCAGAATTGTTGGGCAAGAGACTGCACACTTAAAATAATAATAGATATTGTCAAACCATCCTCAAAGTAGCTGAAGTAACATATCCCATGGTAGTGCATAAAAAGGCTGGTTTCTCTTTAAGGAAACAGTCCATCTTTTAATTGGGTCCAGTGTAATAGATGAAAAGTATCTGGTTCTCACTTGTATTTTTCCTTTCCCTGGTGATAGGTGAAGTCATGCATCTTCCATGTGTTGAAAGGCCATTTGGATTCTGCTTGTAATGTGCATGGGAATGTCCTTTACATTTCTCAATGAGCTGGTTGTCCTTTACATATTGAGTACTAACACATTTGGAGCATTTTAGGAGTGTTCCATTTATTACGTGTATGGACCATTTATTGACATATGTTGAAAATATGTCTTTCAGATTACCACTCTATTTTTTCTTTGGTGTGTTTAAAGATACCTTGCATTGCATAAAGATATATTCATTGCTTTTAAGTCAAATCTGTCATTATTTTATATTTCAGGCTTTCTGGATTCAGTGTCTTATTCAGTCCCTAAGATTAAAGAAATATTTTAGAGCTTTTATCATTTTAGCTTTGACATTTAAATCTTTAATCCATTTAGAATTTGGAGATGTAGGCAATAAGTAATCATCTAACTTTTAAAAAATGATTAACTGGTTGTCTCAATATCATTAATTTTGAGTGTGCAAATCATGTATTCTCTGTGATTTGAAATTCTATTATTATTTCCAATTCCTAAGTAGTTCTTTCCTTTAATATTTTCTGTTCCATCTGTCTACTATTATACTCATTGTTTTTCTAACCAATAGAGCAAATTCCTCGAGTTGGATTTGTTATAATTTAGAATCAATTTGTTAAGCCAGTTGAAAATCTTTCTGGAGTCTTAATTTGAATTGTCTTGAATTTAGAGATTACTTGGGGTAAGACTGATCCCCAAATAGGGCTCACGACAACAGTGGTCAGCCTTCTACTTTAAAGCAGAGGGTACTGACATTTCTGTTGACTTTAATGTTACTGTAGTTTTCTAGTACATACCCAGAAATGCCAATGTTCTTTTCAATTCCTCATTTGCCAAGGTTTATTTCTTTGTTTCATCAGGAATGGCTTTTGTACTATCAAATATTTAAGGGCATCTGTCAAGATAAGCTTATCTTTTTCTCCTTTTAATATGTCTGTTAGCCTATTTCTATTAATCACAAATAGAGTTGATGCATTCTTCTTTTTAAAGTGTTCATCAGGTTATCCTATGAGATTGTTTTTGTCTGGAGTGAATTTGTGCCTTTTTTCACCTTTTCCAATCTCTATTTTTATCATTAAATTTCTGCATGAGTTTGAGAATTTTGGTGAGCATGTTTATTTTATTTTGAGTGAGAAGGCATCTGGCTTTTCTCTCCTCTTCCTCCCTCTCCCTCCTTCTCCTTCCCCCCCTCCCTGTCATCCCCTGGTTTCCATGGTTAATCCTCACTCATAGTGATCTTTAACCCTTACATTTTAAACACACATATTTATATTTAACTTATATTTTCCATCAGCATTTGGGCTTACTCAAAATATATACACTCCTCCCAAACAAGGCAAGATCCTTAGCAAGCTTTCAGTTCATCTCTGCTTTTTACTTGTAACCTCACAGCCAACAGGTGTTAAAATGATCTCAGTTTTGCTTCAATGTTGTTACTGTGTATTTATTTGCTTTTACTTTGAAAAGTGGAGTTGCTCAGTCATGTCTGACTCTTTTCGACCCCATGGACTGTAACTTACCACGCTTCTCCATCCATGGGATTTTGTTTCCTTCTGGAAGCTTCTAGGATTACCCTTTTACTCTTTGATGACTAAAAGTTTATTAGCATGTGACTGAGTATGGTGTTATTAAAAATGAATCTTGCTTTTAACTTAGTAGATTATTGCCTGATTTAAAGCCCTGTGAATTTTCCTTCTATTTGCTCGTATCTCTTTGTTGGCACATGGAAAACCCCCAAATAACAGTAGCATAAAACTATACAAGTTTATTTTTTCCCTCACATAAAAGATGTCCAGAGGTAGGCAGTCTCAGACTGTACGGTTGGTCCACAGCGAGAAGAGGGATCGAGGTTCCTCTTTTTCTGTTGTATGTGACTTCTACGCTCAAGAGAACCTTATACTTCAAAATGACTGCTGGAACTCGAGCCCTCTCTTCCAAACTGCAAACTGGAGAAAGGGGAAAAAGCAGGAGGGCAAAGATGGATTTCTCCTACCTGAACCACTTCTTTTAAGCAACTTTTTTTGAAAGGCACATCCAATGATTCTACTCACATCTTCTCGGACAACATTTAGTCACATGACCACACCTAGCAATAGGAGAGTGCAAGAGATAAAATCTTTTATTCTGTGCGGCAATAAACCTAGGTAAGACCTAACCTTTCGTTACCAAGGGAAGAGGGGACATCTAGGTAACCGACACTGTCTGCAGTACCTGCCCTCAGTTCTCTGTCTTCTGCTTCTAGATGTTGGAACACTTGGATTTCTTTCCTAGGCCTCAGTTTTTCTCTAAGACTTTCCATTTCCTAGTCTATTTGCTGTCTTCAGTATCTACCTTTGTAACATGACAGTTTATAGTGTTAATTCTGATTTGGCCCATTATTGAGTTATGGTGTTTGTTTGGTTTTTTTCAATGGATTTCATACCTTCAAATGCCAAGAACTCTGTTTGTTCTTTGCATAGCAATCTGTTCTTAAATGGCCATGATTTCTCAAATCTCCCTGAGTATGCTACTTAAGATGTTTTAACGTTTTGTTTTGTTTTTGCACAGACATCTGTGCACATCTGTAGAAGTGTCTGTTGGGTCAGTATATGTCAGAATAGAGATGTACGATACCAATAATTGGGAAATACAACACTGTGCCACTCACTATTATGACTGGTTAAGAACACAAATTCTAAAGCCAGTCTCCTGTGCTATAGTCTCAGCCTGTTCCTTTCTGCTGAATCATCATGGACCTATACCAGTTTGCTCATCTACAAAGTGGAGATTTTAACCTACACATTGATGTATTAATATCTGTAACCCCTTTTGAACAGCGGCCAGCTGATGGTAAGTGTTTTGTACTTGTTAGCCACTAATACGAATTCTCTGCATGTAGGTGTCTTTTATGCTTGTGTCCTTGGAGGCCTTTAATTTGTTTGAACTATTTAAAGCATAAAGGTAGTCACTTGTTCTCCATACTTCTGGCACACACATTTATTTTGCACTTTGTCCTTTGCTTTGTGGTTCAGTTATTTTTATAAAATACTGAAGTGTTCACTTTTATGCACTTTTATTTGTCAGCCTTTGTCTCTGATTTCTTCTAGTGCTTTGAAGCTTAAATAGTTCAAAGATATTCACTTGTACAGCTTGCAAGTTTCAGAGGATTTAACTGCCTATATTTAAATTTTTCATTGATTTGAAATGAATCCATGGGGAATGGTGTAAGGTAGGGATTTAGGCTGATATGTTTTATGTTGCTTTTCAATTGTCTCAACACTTTTTATTATTCCATCACTTAATACTGATTTATGGTTCCTCTTCGTCACATAGTACATTCTCTGACGAAATACAGTTCATCTGATCAGTATGTCCACTGATTTGTTGTGTGTGTGTGTGTGTGTGTGTGCGCACATGTGTGAAAATCCATTACTTTACTTATCAGGTCTTTATAATAAATTTTGCTATTGGGAGGAGACTCATTATTTTGTTGAACTATAGTTGATATACAATATTTAGTAGATTTCAGGTGTAAAGCAAAGTGATTTGGTTATACACACACACACACATATATATATCTCTCTCTGTATTTGTTTTACTTTTGATTCTTTCCCATTATAGTTTATTATAAACATAGTTTATTTATAATAGTTTATTATTGAATATAGTTCCCTGTGCTGTACAGTTAGTCCTTGTTGCTTATCTATTTTATATATGGTGATGTGCATCTTTTAACCCCATACTCCCAATTTACCCCTCCCTGCTTCCCATTTGGTAGCCATAAGTTTGTTTTTGATGAGGGCTTACTCACTCAGTTGTATCTGACTCTTTGCCACCTGCCAGGTGCCTCTGTCCCTGGAATTTTTCAAGCAAAAATACTGGAGTGGGTTTTCATTTCCTCTTCCGGGGGATCTTCCCAACCCAGAGATCAAACCGGTGTCTCCTGTGTCTCCTGCATTGCAGGCAGATTCTTTAATTCCGAGCCATTGAGGAAGACCCATTTTTCTATGAGACTTCTTAGTTTTTAAAGTCTCATTAACTGTCCTCACACATATTTTCTCCCTTGTGAATTCCTGTCAAAAAAAGAGAAAATCTTGCTAAGTTTTGATTAGAGTTGTGTTAAACTGATAACTGACTTTCAGAAGAATTGACCTCTTTACAAGTGAGGTATTTGCATTTGTGGTAAGACCCAAAGAGAAGCTCTGAGCTTTGAGCTGAGTTCCAGGTAGACAGAGCAAGCTGCACCAGCTCAGGCAGACTCTCCTTTGCCTGCCAAGGCACTGCTCCCCTGCAGGAACTAAAATACTCTCCCCCAGCCCCAGACAAACCCACTCTTCCTTCCCAGGCATTTCTTGGACTAACCACCCCACAAACATCACCAAGTTTGGTTCTCCCTCATGCTCTCATGTGAGATACGTTGGGTTGGGCCCATTTTACAGATTTAGAGAGCAAGGTTCAGAGGGTACGGGTAAGTCAGCCCAGGCCACCAGCACAGGAGGGACAGGGCCTGTGTTGAAAGCCAGTTTGGCTGAGCCCCGAGCTGTGCTTTTCCCAGCAACAGAGCTTCTGGTATATGTGTCTGTGCAGCTTGAGTGAAGTTTTCGACAATCTTACCGACAGAAAAGGAGTCATGGTCCTCTGTACTACTTTCCTGGTACTTCCCGCGGGCTGGATGAAATGAAATGAGGAAATCCCCAACCTTCTGCAGAAAAAAAGGGAACCGGCATTTCAGGGGGCAGTGTGGGAGGAATGAGGTAAATGGAACAGGGTGGGGAGAGCACCAGGCTAGTGTGTNTGGGTGTGTGTGTGTATGTGTGTGATGTGTGTGTATGTGTGTGGTGTGTGTGTGTGTGTGTGTGTGTGGTGTGTGTGTATGTGTGTGGTGTGTGTGTGTGTGGTGTGTGTGTGTGTGGTGTGTGGTGTGTGTTGAGGGTATGTGCACGTGCTCACTCCCACAGGGGGATCACACCCCAACACCCAGTGACCCCCACCCAGGTCAGTACCTGGTGGGGGAGAAATCAAATACCAGGCTTCCCTCTTGGATTTTCTCATCACCAGGGCAGTGTGACCCAGTGGGAACCCACATCTGCCGAGGCCACTAAGAGCATCTCCTTCATGGTCACATCCCGGGCACTGAGCTGAGAGGCAGGGACGGTCCCAGGGGCCAGGCTGAGGCAGCAGTGGGCTGCAGCCAGGCAGCAAGGCCGTGCCTGGGTCCGCCCTACCACGTGGGCCGAGTCCCATAGGCTGACACTTCTTTCCACAGGCCTGGAGGAGGCAGGATCCCAAAGAAAGGAGGATTCCCAAGAGCTGATGACATGGGTCTAGCCCAGCCTCCAGCAGGGGAGGAACACAAGACTCCAGGACAGTGAGGAGCCCACACCTTGGCCAGACCTGGACCCACCCGAGCGGGCCACCTGTTCTCCAGAGCTGAATCTCGAGATGACGCCGACCCGGGGGCTGCTCCCCCTGGCTCTGCTGTCTCTCTGCTGGGGACTCAGCATAACAGGGGCTGAAGGTGAGCCAGATCACCCCTTCCCACTCCGTGCCCCCCTTCTTACGGCCAGGGCACAAAACCCAGACCCCCAGCCTCCCCCACCATCTCTTCTCTCTCCTGATTTTCCCTGGAGGCCTCCCTTCCCTCCCCCCACACTCCCGCTCATTCTTCTCTGGCCTCCTGTAAAGACCCTCTGTGTTTGTGTGGCCTCTCTGTCCACATTTCCCAGTGTGGCATTCCAGGCCTCCAAGCTCCCGGCTGGCCATTCCAGTCCTTTGTCTGACCTTCTCTCCCCCCAGGCACTCAGAACCTTGAGGTCTTGACCAGTTCCGACCTCTGTACCTTTGCTCCTGGGGAACCCTCAGCCTGGGTGGGGGGTCTTTCCTCTTGCCTTGAGGCCCTGCTGAGACGGCCCCCAACCCGGGGCTCCTCAGACCAGTGACCACCCTCCCCAAGGGCTCCCGGAAAACTCAGTTCCCCTGATAACCTTGGGAACCACACTCCACTTTCCAAGCATCAGGCTCAGTGAGGGCTGATCCAAGAGCAGGGTGAGGCGGTCCCAGAGGAGGCCCCTTAGGGGTGAGTTTATGCTTCTGGTCGCAGGCTGCACCCACCCAGGAGCCCAGGGGCAGGGCCTGTGTCTGACGCATGTGCCCACCTGTAATGGGAGGGACTCTGTTCCTCCAGGAGGAGGGCAAGGCAGGGGCTCAGGACACATGCTCTGAATCAGCTAGAATATTGTGTTTTTCCCCAGACAGGAGAGTCCACAGCTGGCTCCCTTATACCTGCACGCCTGCAGAGACAGCCCCCCTGCCCCTGCCAAGGCCCCTGGGGACCTTTGCCTGGGCTCTGGGAGACTTCTCTGCAGTGCTGTGCCATCCGAGGGGGAAGCTGTGACTCTCTCTCTGCTTCCCTCCCTGGCAGAGACTGTCCCGCTACAGACCCTGCGCTGTCATAATGACTACACCAGCCGCATCATCTGCAGGTGGGCAGATACTCAGGATGCCCAGCGACTGGTCAACGTGACCCTCTACCGCAGGCTCAAGGAGTGAGTGAGGCAGGGCCCAGGGCTGGAGGGCAGCGAGGGGCGCTGCTGTGTGGGCACGCCAGGGGTTCGGGGCTGGACAGAGTGCAGGGATGGGAGACCCCTGCCCAGGAGCTCCTGCCCCATCAGGCAGCCCTTGGGCCCAGGGGCTTGGGTCTGATGTCCGGTCTGGGGGAAGAGCCTCCGATGTTAATATTGTTGATGACGGTGATAAGCTCTTATTTTGTCACAATTGAACAAAATCAGTCGGCAAAAGTCAATTTTGGTTTATCCTCCTTATGAGGTGGGCAGGACAGGGACATGATGCCCAATTCACAGATGGAGAAACTGAGGCTGCAGAGGTGAGGTCCGTCCCTCTGGCCACACAGTGGGGTCAAGGCCTTAGCAGGACCAGTGTCCTGAGTCCAGCCTGCAAGGCTAAGCTCCATGTCTCTCCCAGGCCCTGCTCCCTCCGGAGTGGGGCTTTCTCTCTCTTTACCTAGTCTCCAGGGCATAGCCCATTTGGGAAGGTGCTCCCATCATTCTGGGATCCAGTGATAGTCTAACTCACCATGATGGAAGTAATTAAACAGCGGGCATCACAGGGTCTGGGGAGACCCCTGACGACCTCTCCTAGGAAGAAAGGGCTTTCGCTCCGCAGCATCACTGCCCCTGCACTCTTTCCACTGCTCTCCCCAGAGCCTCCGTCCTCCTTGTCCACTGTCCCCACCCCCACCCTCAGCTGTGGCCTGCCTTTCCTGCACTGGGACAGCAGACACCCCCAGAAGAGAAGCTTCCCAGCACCTTCCCCCACCATGGCCTGCCACCTCCCTGGATACTCCCTGCAGTGATTACCTGTCCCAGGCAGGCCTGTCTGAGGCCAGAGCCGGGGTCCCACCTGGTCTTGCTGCTCAAGGACATCACTGCCATCCCAATCTCCACTGTCCCCATGTTCTTGAGGGACACTGTCCTGGGATTCACTTAACAGGTGCCGACCAGACTGTAGCTCAGGGTCTCCCGAGTCCAGTCTCCTAGCCCGGCTGTCCATTCTCTACTTCCCTCTGAGGGAACCTCCTCTAAAGAGCGATCTGTCTGGAGCCCTATTTCCAGTGCCTCTCAGGTACTTCCTCCAGAGCCCACTCTCCCAGGACTCTGCTGCCCCCAGCAGGCCATTTAAACTGCTCCTGCTGGAGTCAGCGATACCCACTTGGTGTAAATCAATGGTTAGTCCTGGCCTTCTCCCCACGCACCCACAGGCAGCCCCTGACAAGGCCTGGCTGGGCCTAAGCACGAGGTCCCACTGTGGCACCTCCCTCCCGGACCCTGGCCAGCACCCAGGCCCTTCCCCACGTCCCCCTGGCCCACCTTTTCTGTTTCCTAGTCTGTTCCCTACTCTGAAGGGGACGATGTCCCAGGGCTCTTGGACCTCCATTCTCTTGCATCTGCATCCAGTGGCAGAGATCCAGCCCCAGACTGGATCTCTGACCCAGACACACTCTCTCCAGCCGGGACCTTTGCCCAAGTTCCAGAACCATAGGTACACTTGCCTCTCCACATTGTCCCGTATAGTCTTTAACTTCAAGTGTCCTAAACGAGTTCCTGCTCTGCCTCCCAAAGACAGCCCCTGTGCTAGAATCCCATCTCAGTTCATTAAAGGGGAGCTTCCAGGGGCTCAAGCCAGACAAATGGGGGCAGTCTTTTATTTTTTGCTTTTCAGTCTCCTTTCCCTCCTTTCCTTCTCCACCACGGCATCCAACTCATCAGCAAATGCGATCAACTTCATCTTCAAATAGCAAGTGAATTTGGCTAACACCCTGATTCAAACCACTTCTTATCACTGAGATAGTCCAGAAGCCTCCTAACTTGTCCGTCTGCTTCTGGTATTGCCACCCCCACCCAACTCAATCTATCCATAGCTCAGCAGCCAGAGGAATCCTTTCAAAGTGTGTGTCAAAACATCACTCCTTTGCTCATAACTCTCAATTTTCCTCACTTGCAGTGAATTCAAAATTCCTTACATTCTTTTTAAGCACTGATCTTCTATAACCTCCCTCTACTAGGCTCCTGGACCTCCCACCCTCACATCTCTACTCTGCATGCACTGTTAATTGCCTAGTCATACAACACTCCAGACCTAAGCCTACCCCCAGGACCTTTGCACTTGCCGTTCCCTTTCCTTGAAATCCTCTTTCCTCAGATTTGGCATGGCTCCCTCCCTGATCTTCAAGTTTCTGCTCAGATGTCACCTTCTCCAAGAGGCCTTCCCTGCCTCCTTTATTTCAAACTGTATCCCCAGGCCAGCCGTCCTGGCCTGTTCATACCTCTTTCTTCCTGACTTGTCTATGTGCAGTTTTCTCCATTTGACATGTGACATCATTCCTTCATTGTTTTGTCTATGTCTGCCTGTATTAGGATGTCTGCACTACAGGCAGGGATTTGCATGTGTTTTGTTTACTGCCAGGCTCCCTGGTACTAAACAAACCCTTACACATAGGAACCACCCGTAAATGTTTGTGAGTGAGTGATTCTTCTCTCTGGGCTAACCTTGTCCTCTCCTGGCAGGGACCATCCTCAGCGAGTGTCCTGCAATCTTAGTGACGACAAGGCCTGGTTAAACAGCGGTTGTCTTGGCTGTGTACCCAGAAAATGTGTTATTCCTTACCGAAGCTTTGTCCTTGCTGACTTTGACTACTTCTCATTCCGACCGGACCAGCCTCTGGTCACCGAGCTTACCGTTAATCTGAGCCAGCATGGTAAGACCTGGGGTCCCCGGCCAAGGGTGGTCTCCTGTGAGGACCGGGAACCCTGGAGTGTCCACAAGTCCCTGGCCTACTTGGGGAGGCAGATGTGGAAACATCTAATCCTCCAGGGTTGTAAGGACCATACAAAGGGTGTGGTGGGCCAGGAAAGGGAGCAAGGGATTCTGCCTTGGGGAGAGGACCGAAGAAGTTTCCAGAGAAGGATGCACGTCTACTGTGTACTGAGAGGTGTGGGATGACCCTGGGCAGAGGAACTAATGAAGTGTGGACTGAAGAGGGAGTTACAGGAGTCACAGTGCCCTCTGCTGGGAAGGAGGCCACACAGGCCACCGCATGGGCAGTGGGGACCGAAGGAAGCTAGCTCCCTTTGGAGTTTAATTTGAGCACCTTTTATGGAGCTTATGTTCTGAGGCCTAGGAATCTACACAGCTTCATTCATGTTCACACTGAATCCCCACGATTTAGCAGAAGGCAGTCTGAGGTCCATGGAGAAGAGGGGTCTGTCTAAGGTCACTCAGCCAGTGGGAGCAGTGCCTGGCCTGGAACCCAGGCCTATCCACCCATGGGCCGCAGAGGGCCTTCATGTCCCGCACAGCCGTCCAGCCCCTTAGGAACCCTTTCCTTCCTCTCCCTCCAGTGCAGCCCCCCACACCCAAGGACCTCAACATCACTGCTACCAGGGGGAGCTTCCTGCTGTCCTGGAGTACAGTCCACGAGGGTTTCCAGAGCCACTGGCTGTCCAGCCTGGAGTTTGAGGTGGTCTACAAGCGTCTTCAGGACTCCTGGGAGGTAGGGACCCCGCCAACTGTGCCCCAAACCCACAGGTACCCAGCCCAGCTGGCCCTGCTCCAATAGCCCCTCTCCCCTCCAGGATGCCCGCACCACCTACTCCAAGTCCCCCCAGGCCATCCTGGAGCTAAAGCACCTCCTGCCCAGCAGCACCTACGTGGCCCGAGTGCGCACCAGGCTGGCCCCAGGCTCGGGGCTCTCAGGACGGCCCAGCCAGTGGAGCCAGGAGGTTTCCTGGAACTCGCAGCCAGGTAACAGCGTTGGGACAAGGCCCCCTTGTGGAGAGGGGAACTCATTACAGCTCCAGGACAGGAGTCCAGTGTCCACACGTCAGGATCCTCAGGTCCTCTGTATTCAGAGTGGCTTCCTTGAGCCTACCCCATCCCTACTGTGATTCTGCAGAGGCAGCAGCTGCATCTGACTCACCCCCAGGCCCCAGGTTGCTGTCCACGTTCTGTGGAGGAACAATGACAATTTAATCACAATGGCATATGGGCAGCTGTGTTTTCGTGAGGGCTACATGACCTGTGGACACACAAGCATGATGGTGTTATTTAATAAATCCCCGAACCCCGAGGCCAAGATGTCCTCCCCATTTTGCACAGGGGGTGTGAAGGTTCACCGAGTTCACCCTCTGACCTGAGGTCACACGGCTGGCAGGCCAGGCTGAGTTTAACCCCTGATGTTTTTGACCCCACAGTCTCTGTGTGATGAGTCTCATGGTGAGCCCATTGAAGGCTAGGGAATGAACGAATGAGGACTGAAGGAGGGTTTGTTCTCCCTCCCAGGGGATGAGGCCCAGCCTCAGAACCTCCAGTGCTTCTTTGACGGAGCCGCCCTGCTCACCTGCACCTGGGAAGTGAGGTCCGAGGCAACCCACTCCGTCTCCTTCACCCTCTTCTACAAGACTGGCCCCAATGCACAGTGAGTGTCCCCTGCCTCTGTCCCCTCCCCTCCTCTAAGCCTCACCCTCTCCAGGCCTCCTCCTGCCCCTGGAGCCCAGCAGAAGCCACAGCTCCTCCTGCGGTCTCACCCCTCACATGGCCCTGCCTCCCCCTGCCCTGACCTCTGCCGTGATCCTCAGGGAGGAAGAATGCTCTCCCGTGCAGAAGGAGACTGGCAGCCCCTACATCCAGCACCGATGCCAGATTCCGGTGCCGGATCCCAGGAACTACACCCAGTACATCATCTCTGTTCGACCAAAGATGGAAGAGAAACTGATAAAGAGCTCAGACAACAGTGAGTTTTCCCCTAGCCTTCTGTGTGGAGCATCTTCCAACAGCACTCTTTCGTTCCTCATGGTCCAGACTTCATGTGTATCAATTTCAATGAAACAGCCCAGGGAGCCAATTGGAACAAAAATGATTCTAGTCTATCCCGGAAGTTCTCAAGAAGCAATAATGCAACAACGACAAATAACATGAAGGAAAATGCAATTAATATTCCTCCAGAATATCAGTATTAAAAAACCTTTGATCTCATTCTTTTAGCTCTATCTTCCCTGCTGGCTCAGATGGTAAAGAATCTGCCTGCAAGGCAGGAAACCCCAGTTCAGTCCTTGTGTTGGGAAGATCCCCTGGGGAAGGGAATGGCTACCCACTCCAGTATTCGTGCCAGGAGAATTCCATGGACAGGGAAGCCTGGCTATAGTCCATGAGGTCACAAAGAGTCAGAAACGACTGAGCGACCAACACTTTCACTTTATTTCCCCCTCCAACTTCTCAGCTGATCTAAAGTTCCTACTTCTGCCCACGACCTCCTGGTCTTCCCACCGATTTTTCCCTTTCTTTCCCAGATTGGGTTTTTCTTTTTTAGGTTTCCAAAGTCCTTCCCAGACTGATATTTTCAGGGTTCATAATGATTCATCTGTGATTTACTTCTTCAGTTGGGTACTAGGGGGGTATGCAAATGGACTGTGGTTCCTTGCAGGTTAAGTTCCCCGGTTCCTGTTGCATAGAGAGGACCTCATGCAGAGGAAACTCCTGCATTGCTTCTCGATGATCAAGTTCTTCTTCCCAGTCTCTAGTGTGTGTCAGGGACAGCAGCTGATTTGTCTTAGTTACCTGGGTTTAAATCCGCTACTTACTGTTTGGGATCTTCCAGACTGCAATCTTTGTTTCTGCCACTTGTTAGCTGCCTGTCCTTGCAGACTTACCTAATCACTCTGGGGCTCAATGGTTTGTCTGAAAAGTGGGTAGATTAAGAGTACTTACTATATCCAGTTGTTGTTACAATTGAGTGAAATTATTCATATAAATTTCACATGTATAATAATACTTAGAACAGTGTCAATACTCTAGATTAGAATAAATTAGTAGTACATTTATTTCTATTAAATACTAGGGGTAACCCATACTTCTGGTCACCTCACCACAAAACAAGTGTATATTAACATCTCCCAAGAGAATGGCATTTCAGGTCAAAATAGATGACATGGTGAAGTGGGGGTGCAAGGCCCTTAGGTTGGTTGGGCCTTGGGGCCTTGGTTCATTGGGGGGGGCCCTTTTGTTCGGCTTGGACCCCAAAAATGTTCCACTGGAGGAACATATATAGAAACAATATTCCTTAAAAGTTTTCCTCCCTCCAGTCCAGATGGCTCCCCCGACCCTCAACGTGACCAAGGGTAGAGATGGCTACATCCTGCAATGGAAAGAAGAAAAAATGAGCTACTCACACATAACTTGCATCTTCCAGGTCCAGTACAAGAAGGAAGGAACCTCATGGGAGGTGAGGGCCTGTGCCCACGGAGGGGCCAGGAGGGGAGGAGGGAGCAGTGAGACAACATTTGGGGAAATGCCACCTGCCAGACGCCTGGCTCCCAGCATGTAACCAGTCACAGAGAGCCACTGGGACTTGGTGCTCACTCCTTCTGAGCAGGCTCATTGTCTCTTCCTTTGGTGAAGGAACTGAGACTCACAGAGATGATGTGAACTTGGCCAAAGGGTACACGTGACCCTGAGTTGCACAGGGGCATAGACATCAGGAGGGGGAGGGCTGAGAGGCAGCTGGAGGACAGGTTTTCAAAAGTCGCAATAAGGTGACACTTCTTTGTAAGAATCTCATCCAGAATGCAAATGTGCAGCTGCTAAGAGCAGAGCAGCTCCTGGGGAGGCAGGCAGGGCCCTACCCCGGGCCTCAGTATCTGGCCCTGGCACCCAGGCAATCCTTGGGCCTTGTGGACAGAACCTGGGGCTCCACAGAGGGCAGATCAGAAACCTCAGAGCCAGCTCCAGAACTTTCAGCTGGAAATGGGGAAACTGAAGCCAGGAGGGAGTGGGTTAGTGGTGGAGCTGGGAGTGCTCCTTGGGCTCCTGAACATCTGTTTGATGGTCCAGGGTTTGGTCACCCTGCACCACACTCCAGGGGAGACCATATCTGGGGTCCAGGCTGCCCCAAAGTGAGCTGGGAGGGTGAAGGGGGACATGGTGACTCCTCAGGGTTTCTGCACCCCCGTGTTGTCATGTGTGCCAGGAGTTCAGTACAAGAGGTGCTCCCTGGTCCTGTCCCTCTGGAGTGTGGTCCTCCGTGGTGGGGGTGATGCTGCTCAGATCTGGGGAAGTGACTGCAAGCTGGGAGCTGATGGGTAGCAGGAAGGCTGGGGTGCTGAGGTGGGAGGGCTTCGTAGCTGTGCCCACGCACCCCAGACCTTAGTACTCCTGCTCACACACCTGCCCTTGCAGGACACCAAGACCGTGGACTTCCAGAATGCCCACACTATGTCCCTGCCGACCCTGGAGCCCGCCAGCAGGTACCAGGCCAGAGTGAGAGTCAAACCCGAGCCGGGGAACTACAAGGGGATCTGGAGCGAGTGGAGTGAGACAAGGTCCTGGGACACCGATTGGGGTAGGTCTGCCACACTCACCTCACGCCTCCTGGCACAGCTCCGCTGGGCAGAGGACAGGGAGAATGTGAACACAGAGACGTAACCCCACCCCAGGATAGCATCCTTCCTTCCCAGGCGTCATCAGGGATTAGAAAATGACACCTCCTGGTGTGCAACACAGACCGCGGGCAAGGCCTCCAGAGGACAGAGTAGGGAGCATGGCTCCCCAACAGGTCTCCCTCCGACTGAACCTTAGCCTTCTATTAATATGGCCCAGGCTTCTAGTGGCTTCCCAGGTGGCGAAACGGTAAAGAATCCACCTTGCCTGCCAATACAGGAGACACAAGAGATACGGGTTTGATCCCTAGGTCAAGAAGATCTTCTGGAATAGGAAATAACAATTTGCTCCAGTATTCTTGCCTAGGAAATTCCACGGACAAAGAAGCCTGGCAGGCTACAGTCAATGGGTTCACACAGAGTCAGACATGACTGAGCATGTGCGTGCGCGCGCGCGCGCGCGCGCACACACACACACACACACACACACACACACAAGCATGCTTTCATTAGCTTTTGTGGAAGCTACTACCCAGGGACCACTCAGCCTGAGGAACTACAGACTGGGGCCTGAAATTGGAAAGCTTCGGTCTGATTTCTCAATCTTTTACTTTTGCTATTTCATTTATCTACCACCATTACCATGGTGGCCACCAGCAGACAATTATAGGACAAGGTCCAGGAGGTGGCTGCAGAAAGAGGACAAAGTGTTTGCAACAAGGTCCCCAGTCCCAGCCGACTGTCAGGGAAAGAGCCCCAGAGAGAGGACCCCAACCAAGCAGAAAGGAGAAGTGGGCCACAGGACCTAAGGGAAAGAGATCAGGGGAGTTCTGGAGGGGCCCAGCCAGTAAGGGGCTTAAGCCCAAGTGGACAGTTGAGAGAGTCTGATAGGCCTTTGTACCTTCTGGTTCCTCCACCATCACCCCTTTCTCCATCTCTGCCTCTCCTGTTGTCCCTGTTCTTAATGACCACCTTATATGCTGCCTCCTTCAGGAAGTCCCCTGTGATTGCCTTTGGCTATAGTGCTGGCCTCCCACAGCAACTCCTGCTACTGGCCAGTATCTAATCCTCTGCCTCCTCCCACCTGGCCAACATTGTGCGTGGCTCAGACAAAGGCCCCCTTCTTCTTAGTCAGTTTCTGGCCTCCTCTCCCCCTCTGCACCCCAAGGAAGCAGCTGAACCCCATCTTTGAGTCTCTAGCCCTTTCCCTCCCTGGATGCTAATAATCCTTTTTCCTTCCTGGCTTCCTGAAGTGCTCCCCATGTGGGTCCTAGCCCTCATCCTTGTCATCAGCACCTTAATCCTGCTTCCGGTCCTGCACTTCTGTGGCGTCTACGGGTACAGGTAAGCGGACTCCAAGAGGGGGGAGTTATCCAGTGTTATCCAGGGCACCAGAGGATGCCAGGGCCACTGTCTGTCACAGCCCTGTCACCCGCTCCCAGTGGGGTCTTGGACTAATCTGAGCTCTCCCTGGGCTGCAGTTTCACTTCCGTACGAGCACAGGCAGCTGCCCTGAGGTCTTGGGCAGCGGTCACCTCTTTGCTGTCTTTCCAGGCTGAACCGGAAATGGGAGGAGAAAATCCCCAACCCCAGCAAGAGCCACCTGTTCCAGGTAGGAGCTAGCTGTGAGGGCGGCAGAGGTGCTGGGGCTCGCGTGCTCCTGCACCCATGTCCCCGCGCCCCTGTCCTGCTCCCCTTCCTGGGGGCTTTGAGTGGGGCTGGGGGTGCAGGCGGCTAGAGGAGGGGCTGGGAATCTCTAAGAGCCAGGCCAGCCCGGCAAGCCCAGCGCGGAGACCCCCTGGTCTCCCCCGACGCTCAGGTTGCCCTGCCGGCAAGGACTCACCCGGAACAGGAGGGAGGGTTGACGTTGGGGGGCTGGTCCCTGGGAGGCTCCAGGAGAGGCACAGTCACATCGAGGGCAGGTGGATGGTGGGAGGCAGAGTGGCTTTCCGAGGACAGGATGGCAGAGCTGAGAGCTAAGGGGTGCAGTGTGGTGGGAGGTGGGAGAGGCCACAGCAGGCAGAAGGAATGTGGAGGGTGGAGATGAGGCGCCTTTGAGAAGGGAATTGAGCGGGGAGGGCGGTGAGTCTGGGGCACATCGCGGGAAGCTGAGAGGACCCTGGGGAACAGGAGCCCTTTGGTCAAATACACGGGGCCAGAGCTGCCTTGGGAGGGTCTCACGGCTGGTGCAGAGGGGGCTGGGGTGAGCACAGAACAGGGACAATCCAGATAGTGTCCTCAGGCGACCCAGGACCCCAGCGAGGTCCCAGCCCCTCTCTGGCCTCTTCTCCCTGGCATCAGGAGGCCGTCCTGCTGGTGCTGAGAATCTGCCTCGTCTGGGGGCTCCTGAATCTCCACCATCCTCAAGGTTTTCCCTCCATCTGCACCTTCTGGAGCACCCTGACTCCCAAAGATACAAACGCCCTTTCTCTTCCCAGAACGGGAGCGCTGGACTCCGGCTGCCAGACAGCATGGCCACCCTGGACAGTGGGAGCCGCCCACACAAGGGGCCATGGGGCAGCAGCTGCCCTCAGCTGGAGGGGTGAGTGTTGGGCAGGGGATCCCTGGGCGGTGGGAAGGTGGCCCCCTCCTGCACACCAGAGGTTTGGAGGAGGTGGCTTGGGTCTGGGTCTCAGTTTGAAGAGATCCATGGAGGCTGGTGGCGCTAAAGCAAGAGGCATCCTGGGTTAGCAAGGGTCAGACCTCAGACTTGACTGGAGGCAGGAGACTGGAGCAGGTGACCTCCCTTCACCCTGCTGCCCAGGGAGACCCCACACTGCCTTGGCCCCACTGGGTGGCAGAGGTTCTGTGAACCTTCATGGCCTCAGCATCTGAGCCACCAGCTTGCCACTAACCCTCGTGGGAGAGATGACTGAGCCCAGGCTGAACGCTGACTTGGGGTCTGAAGCTGGGTGATGGCAAGGAGTGGAGGGTGGGAGGGGTCCTTGACCTGGAATGATAGCATGGAGGCTGGAGGGCCAGACCCATGGGGAGGCTGAGGAGCATCTGGTTTCCTGCTCTGGGCCTGCTTCCCAACCTTGCCCTGCCCTGAGTTTTCTGAGAGCTGTGGGTGTGGCCAGGCTTCTGGTCCCACAACTCGCTCTGCCCCTGTGCCCAAGGAGGTCCCCGCATCTCTGCCCCTGTTCTCCCCACAGGGTGTTCCCTGTAGACTGCAGGCACAGCGAGGTGTCACCTCTCACCACAGAGGACCCTAAAGACGCCTGTGACTCATCATCAGAGCCTGACATGACTCTGACCACCTCGGACCTCCCCACGGAGCAGCCCCCCAGCCCCACGACAGGGCTGGCTGCCCCCTCAAGCAGGCCTGAGAGCCAGGCTTCCGGCTTTGACTTCAATGGTCCCTATCTGGGGCCGCCCCACAGCCGCTCCCTGCCTGATCTTGTGGGCCAGCAGGAGCCCCCACAAACGGGAGTGAGCAGGAAGCCACAGTCCCCGGGGTCCCTGGAGTACCTGTGTCTGCCCGCAGGGGGGCAGGTGCAGCTGGTCCCGCTGGCCCAGGTGAAGGGGCAAGGCAAGGCCAGGGATGGGGACACAAATTCCAGCCCAGGGGCCCAGAGGAGCCCTTCCCTGGAGTCAGTGGTGGGCCCTGCCCCTCCAGAGCCTGGGCTGATGGAGGATGGTCAAGACCAGAAGGACAGGGCCCCCACAGTTCTGCCCACTGGCTGGCCTGAGGTTGGCACCGTAGCCTCTGGTTATGTCACCACTCCAGATCTGATATTCACCCCACCCACCGGGGCCCCATCTCCCTCCCAGGCTGCCCTTCCGAGCCTCCCCTCAGCCCAGAACCCCGCTTTCCATCCTGGACTGGCTGATGGGCCCCCTGTAGCCTCAGCCCCCCAGAAACCAGAGTTCGAGGGCTACGTGGAGGTCCCTCCAGCCACAGGCCAGTTTCCGCAGTCCCCCCTGGCCAGCCCCGCCCCTCCTAGAGTCAGCAGCCCTGTCCTGAGCCCAGGCCCCCTCAGGGCAGACATGTCCCCCACCTCCCCAACCCCCGAGGGTCTGCTCGTCCTGCAGCAGGTGGGTGACTACTGCTTCCTTCCAGGCCCTTTCTCCCCCCAGAGTAAGCCCACCTCCCCAGGACCCTGTCCTGAGATCAGGGACCTCACCCAGGTGGTCCAGCCCAAGAAGCCTCCAGCTCAGGCCTTTCCCCAGGTGCCGGCCGTTCAGCTCTTCAAAGCCCTGAAACAGCAGGACTACTTGTCACTGCCCCCTTGGGACATCAGCAGGCCTGGGCAGGTGTGCTGAGACTCTGGAGACCTTGAGGGGGAGGAACAGAGGAAAGGGCCTGCCTTTCCTCCTGCCCTGCCTGGTCCTCCTGCCACCCCTGCTCCCTTCGCTGGTCCTTTCCACAAAGCTGTGGAGAAGCTTCCATGTTGTAACAGATGGAGACCGGAAAAATAAGTTAACCATCTACCTCCTTCCTTGACCTTCAGCAAGGTCAAGTTTCTCTCTCTCCCTCCCTTCTTCTCTGCCACACACACACACACACACACACACACACTGTTCTTTGAAATTAACTTATTTTAGGTTCTAAATTATTGGAGCTTTATATATATACACACCAGAGAAGGAAATGGCAACCCACTCCAGTACTCTTGCCTAGAGAATCCCGTGGACAGAGGAGCCTGGTGGACTGCTGTCCATAGGGTTGCACAGAGTCGGACACGACTGAAGCTACTTAGCATGCATGCATTGGAGAAGGGAATGGCAACCCACTCCAGTGTTCTTGTCTGGAGAATCCTGGGGACGGGGGAGCCTGGTGGGCTGCCGTCTATGGGGTTGCAGAGTCGGACACGACTGAAGCAATGCAGCAGCAGCAGCAGCGGCGGCGGCAATATACACACACTCATTTCATTTGTTTCCTTTTCCTTTTTACCGAGTTTCCCTGATTTTGCTATTACCTTCTTTCTCTTTCCATGGATCTATCATTGGAGTTAGTTTGAGGTCCGGGCTAAGCCCATTCTGAAGTTTGTCTTGTCTCAGTCAGAGCCTTTTCTGATGCTGACATGCCTGGTTTCGTGGAGGATTGCTGTCTGTCCCTGGTAGGCATGAATGTGCAGATTCCAGCCTGGAGGCAGGAGGCTGGAGGCAGAGTGTGGAGGCTTGGGGGTTTCAGACTTGGAAGAGTAGCCCTGGACTCAGCAAGCATCTGTCAGCCCCAGGTGTGGTAGCAAAGCACCAACCTCTACTGTCACTCCAAGAATTGTCACTTCCCACGGACTTGGCATGGGAAGCACTGTCCTGAACTCATGGGAAACACTGCTAGTCTCTTCGAGGTGACTGGGGGAGCCTCAGGGGACCCCCAAATCCCTGCATTTGAGCAGTGCAGGTTGCTGATTGAAGTGATCTCCTTATACTTAGGCTAGTGGGGCCAGGGAAAGTTTGAGAGGGAAGCGGAGTTCAAAAACCACGTAGAAAAGTCAGAAAGAATTGCTCAACAAGGTAAAATAGAAAGCGACCCAAGGACATGGACATTTGAGCTTATAGTCCAGATCTCCCTACTGCCCTCCCTCCAGAAAGACCTTACAACTCCCACCCCCACCAGCCACCTACGAGAGGCTTTTGGTCTATGGTTGGCCTACACTGAGGATCATGGTTCTTTTAAATCTTTGCCTTTCTGATATGCAAAAAATGGCATTAAATTGTTTCAATTTGCATTATCTGGAAACTAACATGTTTGCACATATTTTCCTGTTTCTTGAACATTTGTATTTTTTTTTCCCCCTGAGCTAAACTCATTAAGATCTCATTGTGTCAGATGTCCTCTTTTTTCTAAGTAACCTTTAAAAAGTATTTAGCTCTGGCCGGCCTTTTGCAGATGGTGCAAATTTATTTTCCTAGTTTGTGGTTTGCCTTTTAATTCTGTTCATCATGCTTTTGAGTGTATTCAATGTGGACTTGTCTGGGTGGTCAAATGAATCTAGGGGTGAACTCCTTCACGGCTCCACTTTTGGTGTCAGATTTGACAAAGGCCTTCCCCACTTGAAAAGTGCATTTGTCCAAAGTTATGTTTTTTATGGTTCCTTTTGTGTTTCAAAAATGTATGTGTGAAATTCTTTTGGAATGTATGCATTTAAGGTGGAAAGCCAGCTTAGACAAGTAGCCCAGATGTTCTGGAATCATTGGTGGAATCACCCATTCTTCATCCATGTATCTGATATAGAAAATCTGTGTATACACTTGGTCAGTTTCTAAACTTTCCTTTTTATTACGTGGTCTTCTCCATGGACCCCACTGCTTTGACTGTTCTAGCTTTATCATATGTTTTAGTAAATAGCAGAGCAAATGTTATTGTTTCTTTCATCCACAAAATCCCTGTTGATGATGGCATTGTTTGTAGCCGAAGAAAATGATAAACAGTTGAAATCTTCACCCATAGTGAAACTAATCACAACATTTGAGTCCATTCTAAGGTGGAATCCTGTGTGCAAAATGAGTGAAGTAGACCTATGTGCATTAGAGAGAAGTCCAAGATGTGAATTCCAAAATGTCTGGAAAAAATTGTTAACTGAAAAAAATTGTGATAAAATATTTTTATTACAAGACATTAATGAGTATATAAGTGTTTAGGTGGATGTTCAGGGGTGCCGATTGAAAGCACAGTCACCCTAAGGAGGACTGATTCTGTTCAACAGAAGGGCCTTCTGTCTACCACAGTGAGTTAGGGGCAGTTTTGATCAGACTTAAGATGCTGGTTGTAACAGAATGAGAAGTAAGTGGCACTCCCAGGATAAGCCAGGAGAGAGTGAGGGAAGGAGAAAGATGGGCTGGGGGAGAGAAATATAAAGGACACACTCAAGCTAAAAACAAGGAATTCATTATAATCCAAAATTCAAATCTAACTGGGCATCCTGTGTTTAGTCTCTAGTAAGAGTGGAGATGGAAGAGACTGAATTCCCCATAAAAAAAGATGAGAATTATTTTGTTGTTGTGGATTTTTAAAAAATTTTGTTAATTTATTTTTATTTTTAGCTGTGCTGAATCTTCGTTGCTGCTTGGCCTTTTTTCTCTTTGCTGCAAACGAGGTCTTCTCTCTAGTTGCAGCGCGTGGGCTTCTCGTTACGGTGGCCTCTCTTGTTTTGGAGCACTAGCTCTAGAGAGCGTGGGTTTCAGTTGCAGCACATGAGCTCAGTAGATGCAACTCCAGGTTCTAGAGCACAGGCTAAGTTGCCCCGAGGCATGTGAGACCTTCCCAGACCAAGGATTGAACCCATGTTTCCTGAATTGGTAGGCAGATTCTTTACCACTGACCCACCAGGGAAGCCTAGATGAGCACTATTAAGACTTATGCCTGCCAGGCCCTGCTCCATTGATTTAGGGGATCACAACCCCTTGAGACAAACACTACATTTATCATATTGTTTTTTGTATGTGGGGAAATGAAAGCACAGGGAGGTTACATACTCACTCCAGGTCAACCAATCAGTGGGTGGCAGAGGCAGGATGCAAACCTTGGCCCTGTAGCTTAGAGAAAAAAGAAAGCTAGTCATTCAGTTGTGTCTGACTCTTTGAGATCCCATCATAGAGATCCCATGAACTCTAGCCTACCAGGCTCCTCTGTCCATGGAATTCTCCAGGCAAGAATATTGGAGTGAGTTGCCAATTCCTTCTCCAGGGGATCTTCCTGACCCAAGGAATGCACCTGGGTCTCCTGCATTGGAGGCGGATTCTTTACTGTCTGAGCCGCTAGGGAAGCCCTGGAGTTTAGAACCTGCCCTCAAAAGCAAGGTCTCCCACCAGAAGGTCCACCTGTGAATGCAAAATGATCCATGTTGCTTGGCAAAACAGAAAAAAATTACAAAATGAGCAGGTTTGGTGGTGGGGTGGGAGCAGGGGATACTGAGCCAGAGCCGAGAATAAAGAAATGTTTTTACTTTAAGTTTAAGTAAGTGAAAGTCTCTCAGTCATGTCTGACTCTTGCAACGTTATGGACTGTACAGTCCATGGAATTCTCCATGCTAGAATAATGGAGTGAGTAGCCTTTCCCTTCTCCAGGAGATCTTCCTAACCCAGGGGTCAAACCCAGATCTTCCCTCATTGCAGGCAGATTCTTTACCAGCTGAGCCACAAAGGAAGCCCAAGAATACTGGAATGAGTAACCTATCCCTACTCCAGTGGCTCTTCCCAACCCAGGAATCAACCCAGGAATCAACTCCTGCATTGCAGGTGGATTCTTTACCAACTGAACTATCAGGGTAACCCTTTTATCTCTTTGGGAGCTAAATATTAAGGGTGTGGGTTCTCACTCACTGATGTCTAGAGATACCTTGCAGGTAGGACCGTGTCCTCCTCACCTATCTGCCCTGAGAACCCAGCCCAGAGCTGTACACATGAGTAAGGGAGCACCGAGGGGTTGTCATGACTGGAGATCTCCAGGAAGCTGTCCCCGAGAGGGAAGGAGACACGCAAAGGACCTACTGGAGTGACAGCACAGCGGGGAGGGTGAGGCAGAGCTGAACAGGAGCCGTTAGGGTTTCCAGACCTGGATAGACATCCACCAGCCTACAGGGAGCTCCTGAGCAAAAAGGGCCTGCTGAAAGAGCCCCACAGTGGACAGAAGTGACCAGGCCCCTGGGCCCTCATGGTGTTGGCCCATGATATTTTCTTAATAGACTTTACTTTTTAGAGAGGGTATCCCTGGTGGCCCAGTGATAAGGAATCCGCCAGCCAATGCAGGAGACATGGTTTCGATCCCTGGGTCGGGAAGATCCCCTGGAAAAGGAAATGGCAACCTACTCCAGTATTTTTGCCTGGGAATACCCACGGACAGAGGAATCTGGCAAGCTACAGTCCATGAGGTGGCAAATGGTCAGACACAACTCAGCAACTAAACCACAACAACAACAATTTTTTTCAAGAAATTTTAGGTTTACAGCAAAATTAAGCAGAAAGTACAGAGATTTCTGATATATCCCCTATCCCACATATGCACAACAGCCCCCACTAGCCACATCTCTGGTTCACCAGAGTACATTTGTTATAATTGATGAACCTACACCCATGCATTTAAGGGTCTTTTAATTTCAAGGCTGCAATCACCATCTGCAGTGATTTTGGAGCCCAGAAAAATAAAGTCAGCCACTATTATTATTCACTTTCTTATTATTGTTATGAGTTATGTGGACCATTTGGATAATGGTCCACTATCAAATATGTCTTTTTCAAACAATTTCTCCCAGTCTGTGGCTTGTATTTTCATTCTCTTGAGCAAGTACTCTTATACTATTTTGGTGGGAAGTAGTTTTTTAGACAACATGGAGCAAAATGAAAAACACGTATCTTTTAATCTTGCAATTTTGTTTCTAAAAATATTTGAGAAACATGACCAAAAAGATAGGTATATAAATGTTTATTGCAACATTATTTGTCTTTCAGAAACAGAAACTACATGGAAGCAACAGTGTGTTCCCTAAGTCTGGGGTAGGGAGAGGTGTGGGTGTGTGTACTCCATCCTGTGGAATACTATATAGCCATCAAAAGGGAAGGTTATTGTGAAAAGATTTCCAAGCTAC